GGGCAACAGAGCAAGACTCTGTCTCAAAATAAATAAATAAATAAATAAATAAACTTGATTTCCACTAAGGAAAGCATTCAGATCTGGTTCAATCACTCTATATTATAGAAAGTTTTAAAAATGCAAACACGCAATCAATAGTTACATGCAAAGTCTCTGGAAAAGTAACATTGAAGAAAAAAGCACTTCTTTAAAAATGATTCATTTGTGTTAAATACGTAAGGTATGTCCAGCTTAATTTCTGACAAGCGCTTGACTACTTGTGCTTTGCTGGAAGTTGAGCATATATTTGCATCGCATCCTGACAAATGATGATCTCCTGATGGTGACATTCAGCTGCTGTCAACATCATAAACATGTCTGTTCAATCTGTTTACATTCCCCTTGAGCTGGCACTGCTTTCCTAAAGCCTGTGTTAATAGCAAGGTAGAACTGCAGTCACAAATGACTTCCATTTAGTCTATGGCTAAAGCCTTGGGAAGCACCTATCTCAGGCTTAAAACCAATTTCAATTTAGCTTCAATTTCTCTTTTAAAGAGAGAAGAAATTTCCACTACTGAAATTACTGTGAAAGGCATGGCATATTCCAGTTTCCTTTCTTAGTCATTTTTGGCTGGTTTTCCCATTATAATTAGAATTTCATTTTCTTAATCTCCTCATACAAATACATAAAACTTTCTGTTCTATGACAGTTTCACACTTACTAAGAACAAATCTAATGAAAGCACGTTAGCCAGATAAAGCAAATAAAAATATAGAATGTACATTTCAATTTAAATTTCAATGAATAACGTTTTAGTATATGTATATTCTAACCACTGCATGGGACATACTCATGCTAAAATATTATTCATTATTTATCTGAAATTGAATTTAATTGGGCATCTTGTATTTTATTTGGAAACCTTTAATTAAGGTGTTTTAACAACTTATAGCTATTAATCTATCATTCAAATGAAGGATGAAATTCACGACCAAGGTTTCTCAGAAATATTTTCCAATAGGTGGCTTCTTAACTTGTAGAGGTTTTCTGTTGTGTTTTGGTGAGGGCTGGGGGGAGGTTGATTATAAAGACCTGTTTTGAGGGAGGCTCACTCACTTTTTCTTGATCAGTCTGCTGAATAATGACATTTTTACTTTTCCTTGAACAGCACAACAGCCCAGCTGCCAGATCTTTTTTTTTTTTTTAAATCATTCAAGAGATATGGCAGCTCTCTGAGATACCATTGTCTTTTGAAAAATAGCTTTCTCACACTAATCTGTTTTACAGGTCTTAAAAGTAAAACAAGACTTTGAATACAGGGAAATGGACAAGTTGGATGAATGCATTCTGCTTGTTTAAATATTTACATCCAAAATAAAAGTAAGAAACTTCCTTAAAAAATTGTTTTTAATTAGGATAAAAGGCTAAAAAGGGCACGCACAAAACATCTGTGAGTTTCTTTGCAAATATCTGCGAAAGACCTTACATTATGTCACATTCTGCACTATTTTACCGCCCACCCCCCATGAGACATTCACCTTGTAATCTAATCCTAACAGCCAAGTTCCTCTTTTAAAATCTCACTCTCATTACTGCCTTCCAGGCAACATCTTTAATCTGATGTGCTGGTCATTCCTACTTTCACTATTCTAATTTACTGTCTGTTATTTGATGACTTAACAGACGCTTATTAAAGCAATGAGCAAGGTGAATGGTTCATATTACTAAGTTTTTTGTAGTCTGGTAGTCTGGGCTGATTATTAAAAAGAAAAGGAAGTTTATAATAAGGGAAATACTAGACTTCAAAAGTTGAGAAAAGTCTATTAGAGACATCAGTAAAGGCCCAGTGAGAATGGGTTTTGCAATCAGGGAGGCTGAGGTCTGAATCCAAGCTCCAACCCTTATTGTGGAATGACTTTAGGCACATTAATGACCTCTCTGAACCTCGCTTAATAATTACCTACCTCAGATAATTGTTGTCAGGTTTAAGATAAAAATATTTTATACTTTACAGGATACATTTGGAAACAGGAAAAAAACTCAGCTATTATAGAGTAAAATGGGAAAATTGTTACAAATATTGGAACTAGACTGCCATAATTTGAATATTACATCCTCTCTTTACTAGCTGTGTAGACGTAGGCAAGTCACTTTATCTCTCTCTGCCTCATTTCCTCATCTATATTAACTGAATAATAAGAGTAATTCAAAGTTTTAGTCCAATTTTATACTTAGCAGAGAGGATAAAATAGATTAACTCATGTACAACAACTCTTCATTTAAAAAAAAAATCAGGTAAAACTCTACAGTGTCTGATACTGTAAGTACTCAAGAAATGTTAACTACTTCAATTACCATCCTTGGCATTCTTGTTATTTAAAGAAGTAGCACTTCAGATAAGTCTTCATGAGCTAGTAATATTTAAACGAAAGAACTGAGAAGAAATTTCTGGCTAAGAAGACAGCAAGAATAAAAGTAGAGAAGAATGAAGCAAGAAAGTTTGTTCAGGGGTCAGAAAATAGAGAACCAGAGAATAATAAAGTAGATAAGAAAGCAAAAATTGGCAGATAAAGGCTTGATTGTAGAAGGGCTTGGCGCACATTTGCGGTGTCGGTATATACTTCATTACCAATAAATAGTCTCTCGAGGTCTCGAAATGGAGAAGTAATGTGACGGCAGTCACATAAGAGTAGCCTGGCAGCACGGGTTTTGAGTAGATTCGGAGATGACAACAGAGGCAGAAAGATGAGTTGGGGGCTCTGCACCTGTCTGAGCAGGAAGATAGAAAAGCCTGAACTTGGGCATCCCAAAGGGGAATAGAAGAGAGAATCCGTTCTCAAGATTATAGAATCTGAACTGAGAGGACTTGGCAGTTGTTTAGAGGAGGAGGAGGTGAGGAGGAAGGTGAAAAAGAAATTTCCTGAGAAATAGACCAGATGCAAATTGGTTGTGAGTGACAGATACATGGGAGTTGAGACCACAGATTATTCTTTAGCAAGGGGGAAGCTGTGTTGGGTCTAGACAGAGTAAGGACTAGACACCTGCCATGAGAAGAGAGGCAGCCCAAAGAGAATGGGGAATGAGCTGCCAAAGGCAATCGACAGGAAGGAGGAACCAAGAGATAGGTGTCACCTAGGGACATATGAAACAGCAAAGTGTAAAAAGACTTTGTAGAAAAAAGAGTACATTCAGGAAGCAAAGTGGGATGGAAAAGGCAAATCAATCTATGCTCACCATCCTCCCAGAGGGTGGCACTGACCCTTTTGGGCTGAGTTTAGAGTTCTTCCTCTCAGGCCTCAGAGAACCCAGTACAAACCCTATTAGAGGTCTTATCTCATAAAGATAGGTCAGATGGCAAAAACTGGCAGTATATATGCTCAGTAAGTGTTTGGAGAATGAATGAATGAGTAAATTGGTGACCTTTAAAACCTTAGTCCTCCATGCCACTTTTGCATTATAATGCTCTTTCCAGTATCACAAACTGGACTCTCATTCACAAGCCTAAGATTCACCCTACTGCAAGTAGTAGGCCACAATACTTTGTTGTTTGTCAATTTGCTTTACCAGCATTTAAGCAGCCTAAGGGAATACATAAAGAGTTTTCAAAATGTGTTTCCAAAGCCTCTGTGGTTCCATGAAATACCTCACCCTACTTGCCCTGCCTCCGTCCCGCATCCCATTGCTTAGGGACTGCTCAGAATAAATGTTGGGAGGAGGGAGGAAATGGCAGGCAGACTTTAACTGGTTACACAAGTGAGACATCATCATAAGACTGCGTTTTAAAAAAGAATTTTGAGACTTTTTACATATAGCTTGAAATACATTATACTCAAATTATAGAATGTTCATGTAAAGTAAGTCTTTTTGTTCATGTTTAAATTATTGCCCAAATACCTAAAATTGCAAAGTAAGATCCCAAAATTTTCCACCATTTTTCCTTTCCCTGTATGTGTGTATGAAGAGAAGTAAAGCAGTAGAGATGTTTCCCCATCTCTGAGTGTGGTTTATTCTCTACAGCATTTTGTGTTTTCCAATACTCAACGTGAACAGTTATCCTCCAAGAAGCTAAGTAACACATTAACACAGGTTATACTGTGAAATTCAAAGCTTTAGTCTAACTTCACACTAAGATTCTGTTTTAATTGGCTTGGCATGGGAGCCAGTCAAGCACGAGTGTGTGGGAGCTGGCTCCTGGAGCTAATTTATGCTCATCTGTCCCCAGCTCCACATGCAGTGATTTCATGTTGGTAACTTAAAATTGACCATGCTGGGAGAATTTACCCCACAGAAATCCTCAAATGCTATGAATCTGAGCATTTTTTCTGCCCAGTGATCCAGCTCACCAGTACACCATTCAAATTGTTTAAGTTCCTTACATGAAATTAATGCACAGCTAGGGCTGAGACCTACTACAAAGAAAGCATATACTCAGTGAATTCGTTTTCCAGCCTTATATGTCTGCAACTATATGTTAGCAATCTCACTACCTGGTGCCACTAGTATATATTTTACACATTAAGTATTCTTCTAAAAATATCTATATAAACAGTATTTTTAATCAACTCAATTTTTTAGTGTTAAAAATGTTTGTGAATTTTTGAATTAAAAGACTAGTCACAGAATTTGAATGGTGAAACTAATTTAAAAAGTACCTAGTGCAACTCTCAGTGTTAAAACCAATAAAACTAAGATTATTATGACTTCTTAGTTCCAGTCCCAAGGGCCCTTTTAGAGTGCTAATAAGGACAAGGACACTAGAAAGAATTCATACTTTAAAATGAAAATGTCAACACTTAGCTGGAGTGAAATAATTAAATTGCTTATATATGTTTCCATACCTCATCATCTGAGTACAGCAAATACATGTATTGAAACAATCTCTTGTGAAAAGAAAGCTTCCCTTCTTATAGGATGTTGTTACTGGTATCATTGCTCCCTAATCTTGTGAACTGGTTCAAAATAATACATTACTGGTTAATCTTTTTAACTGTAACAAAGAGAAAATATAACATCATACCCATGCAAGAAGCAACAGATTTCTTTTCACTGTTCCACAATATCCTAACATCCCCACAATGATAAGGAAACAGCAAACAGCAATCATGACCGGATGAACCACAGGAAAGTAAGTCAAAATGACTGCTTCCTCTACCCTGAAAGAAGAAAAATAATGCCGTATGAGCAATACAATATAATCAAAATGCACCCAAGACCTAGTACAAGACACAACTGTGATTTGTGTTAATAATTCTTTAAATCATGATGCCTCAAAACTAGTGACTGCATTGTTATTTTCAAAATCACTGTGCTATCGTTTCTATGTTTACTTGCTTGCCTGCTTTACTTTTGGTTTTGCAGTGTTCGTCTTTTTTTAATACAACTGGTAGCTTTCCTACCCCAACTCATCTAATATACAATACAAGGGATCTTGATAAAAAGTCCATCTGTTACCATCTCTGATGCCTTAGCCTAAGTAAATCACACGGGATCCTTTGCTATTTCCCAGCTGGGAGGAATCTCCTTCCTTTTCGCTAATCTTTGACCCCATGTGCACTATGTTTCTCCTCCCTGACAACTGATCCTCCCCAACAATGTGAAAGACTGCTGTGCAAAGGGAAATCAATCTACATTAAAAGAAAGGAAAAGTTAGAAGTGATTTTTGCTAGAACACAATGAAAAATTCATTAACCAAAACCAGAACTAATGATACAAACTAACCATTACTAAGCTAAGTTCCTCTGTGTTAAGGACTTGACAAAAATGTTTTTCATTTAATCCTTACCACAACTCAAATGTCATATATCATGATACAATCTCCATTTAAAGATGAGGGAGTAGAAAGCAATTTGTCCCCTGTGATGTTAGTACATCAACCCTTGAAATTTGAGGAAAAAAAATTATTGTGGTGTATGGTTTTCATTAACCTATGAATATGAAGGTAAGAAGAAGCTGACAGTAATTTTCTTAGAAAAAGTAACTCTGCTGGTGTTTTACACACACGTATGACATGGCTGACACACACACAGCCAGGAAGACAGGCAACTGGTATTACCATATCCAGAAATGTCTATATAAACCTTCTGCCACCTGATCCCATTTAGGACCAGAGGCACACCTTAAGGAGAACTCTGGAGGATAAAAGTGTCTGTGACAAAGATTGCTATGGGTAGGAAAAACTTTTCCAAAAGATCAAGGAAGAGCACTGCCATATAAACAGCTAACAGCAAAGTTATTTAAAATCAGCATGAAAAAATTCAATCAATAATTATAAAATATACCTTGTTTCTGCAGTTAAAGTCAGAACATTATTTAGGTAGTCCCTCATCCAAGCAGAAACAGCCAACACACAGATGGACATTAACTGGGGAGAAAAAAGTACAAACTGGTTAGGAAGGATTTATGTCACATTTGCTACAGGATTAATAATAGAAAAATTAAGGATTTTGTTACACAATATCTTTCCCAATTACCATTTGCTACTTATTGAAATTTACTATTACTATAAATATCAGCAATTCCATTTTGTAATCATGTCATAGGCATCAAATAGAATACCGCTTAAATGGGATATAGAAAACTAGACTATTAAGCGGCTGATCCCACATTCAGGACAGAAACTGCACAAGTTGAGAAGGCCACAGAACAACTAAATTATCAAATATATAAGATGCGTCTAAAACACATTGTCATTCTTAAAGGAAAGGAAGAAATTAAATACTATTACTGAACAATTAAATATTGTCAAAAAAGTCACAGGCTCTAATTTCAAATGACTCCTGCTGGCTAAAATTCAAACAATTTAAGTATTAAAATGATAGTAATAGTAATATATTAAATGCAATCCTTTAAAACACACCTGAAGTCCTAAAGTATATAAACTCACGCTAACACATGTATGTGCTAAAGTATATAAACTCATGATGAACACAATTCTCTGGTCATCTTTGTAGAAAGTTGAATACGCAACTCATTATTCAGAACACTGACAAGAATCTATCATTTCTATTTATCCTACTTTTACTGTACAAACTAAACGAAGAAACAAGGACTTGATGAAAGTTTTTATGGAAGAATTTCTGCTAATATTTGCAGAAAGCATTGTAGAGCATCACCATTTAACAACCCTATCTGAAATAACGGATCTTTAGAAAAAAAGATCCTCAATGGCTGTAAATTTATCAGGTCATTTGTTCTCAATCCTGTCTGCACATTAGAATCGCTCAAGACTCAAAAACATTACTGAGCACAGGTCTACCCTGGACTATTCTACAGAGTGGGGCTTGGGCATCAGAAATGTGTAACAGCTTCACAGATATTCTAACAGGTAGGCAGGGCTGAGAACCACTACATTAAATGAAAGACTGCTGGAAAGTCACAATGGAGAGAGTGGGTGGATGATCCAGACCCCACTGGTTACTCTTAGTGTCACAAAAAGAGACAAGTAGGCATAATGTGTCTCCCAACATGTTGCAGTCAGAAGCACACAGAAATTCTTATGAAGTATTTCACCAGAAAGGCAAACTTGAATCTGATCAAGCCTCCCACACTATTAGTTGATAGAAAATACATGAAATAGATTTAAACATGTGAAATGCCATGACGGGAAGCAATTAGAAAAATCAAGCATATGAGAAACTTTACAGGACAAATGATCTTTTTTCTTGAATTAAAAAAAAAAACAACTGGCAAGTAAAAACAGAAAGGAAAGAAGGAGAAACTTGTAAAGATTAAAAGAGATTTAAGAGATTACCCCTGCATTACATTAACCTGGTTTGCATACTGATTCAAACAAATCAGTACATAAAAACATTTATGACACAAATGAGGAAAGTTTAACCCTGAATGAAGGTTTGGAAATATTAAAAAAAAAAAACTACTTTAATTATTTTAGGTATGATCATAGATTAAGTTCATTTTTTAAAAGGTCTTTATTTTCTGGAGCTATATACTGAAGTAATTTTAAATAAAATATATTAGATAGCTATATTTGTAAGAAAAAAATGAAACATAATGATGAATGGGATATGGTTTAATAATTAATCATGACCAGTAGAAGTTAGGTGGGAAGTAGAGAAGGGCATGTTGGTAATTCTTGAAACTGGGTAATGAATAATTGGGGATTAATTATGCTATGTTTTTCTACTTTGGTATATGTTTTAAATTTTTTCATAATTTAAAAATTAAAAGAAACACACTAAAACAAGTTGAGAAGAAGTCCTCTAGGGAAGCTTTTCTAAAAGCTGCATTTATTAACCCCTAAGTCCTGAATGTCTTTCCGATTTTGCTGGAAATCTCTTTGAAATGTGTACCTATCTTCTTAAGTACAATGTAAAATTCAAGTTACCCTGATTTTTAATAATTTCTAGCATCATAATGAACATCAATTATCATTACATGCTATAGCTTTAGCTTTAAGTGCTGACATAATTAATATATAGAAGGTAGAAATGAGTCTGCACTAACTGAAGTGGTGGCCTGCATGAAAGTTCCCAAGGTAAACAGAATGTGAGGACCTCTACAACTCTTGAACAGTAAATTATGGCTATCCGCTTGGAAAATCAGCTCATGAAGTCACACTTCCATCATTCATTACAAATATTTACTCAACAATTACTATGTGCCCTGGATTGGGCAAGATTCAGAGACTGATAATAAATAACAGAAATAAGATCCAGGCCTTCTTGGAACCTCTTGGGGAACACAGGCAATAATTACAAAGAAGATAATTACAAAAATATTCTGCTGAAGGTCTCTCAGCTCCTGAGTGATAGAGCTGGGATTCAAATTCGACCTGTTGGTCTTCAGAGCTGTCTCCCAAGTTTAGAAATGGGCATGCATGGTATGTCCACAGAGGGTGAAAAGATGGCACATAGAATTCCTTTTTAGAAAGAAGGGCAGTAGGTCTCCTGTAACAGTCAGCTTCAGTCTAAATGTCTGAACTACTTTCTTTGATGAATGGGGATTCAACAGTTCTTAACCTATAAATACAAGTGTATTTCAACATAATTAATTTCCTTTGTAAGCCAGTACATTTTGTTTTATGGGTTAAAATACAGATTAATATTAATTAATATGGATTAATATTCTGACAATTGGCTAGCTGGTTTATGAGACTGCCAAAAAGTCAATGGCCTATAAGATAGGTTAAGAACCCTGGGACCACAGTCAAGGGTAGAATTAGGCCAGTTATTATTATTCTCATTTCTGTTGGAAATGAACAGACTGTAAATTTCATAAAAGTTACAAGTGGGTCAGTTGCAGTGAATTAGCCATGTTTCTGGCTTCTTTTGATGCATTAACATCTGTTCTGCATGCATATGCCAGATACATCTTGCTCTGGAGAACCTTAAAATGTGCCTGAGTCACCTTGCCTTGGCCTGCTGCCTTCCTCATTCCTAGCTCCGTTCTCAAGAGGAGATGTTCTCCCAGGGGTGCATTTTTCAAATACAAACCATGCAATCCAGAATCTACACTCCTAATTACCTCCTTATGGGGCTCTCCCACTTAGGGGCCACTATACACCTGCCTTAATCACTCCAAGGCCAATTGTTCAAACTGGCCAATCCTAAACCCACTTACCTGCCTCATCCATTCCTTCCCATGGAAACCATGGTATACAACTTGCCCATGGTCCCCATATCTCTTTCTGCCTTGTGACTGACCCTAGTGTTTCCCTTCTTGGTCTCCTATAATGAGATCTGTGCTCCATATCTTGGGATTTATGAATATAATAAACTGTCTTCTCAATAGCAGCCATCTCCTAATCTGTTGGACTAAGCATACCTAATTGACAGCAGAACATATTAAAACACATGGAGCCAGCAGAGAACTACTGACTCTTTGATGAAATCTGTGGGCATGTGTTCTCCTTCTACCTGTCTATCTGAGGGTCTTTGCACACTTTTTAAGTATCGCCAGGACAGAAAACTCTATTAATGTGGTATATTAGTCCATTCTTACACTACTATAAATATCTAAAACTGGGTAATTTATGAAGAAAAGAGGTTTAATTGGCTCCACAGAATGTACAAGAAGCATACAGTCTGGGGAGGCCTTAGGAAACTTAATCACAGTGGAAGGGGAAGCAAGCACATCTTACATGGCTGAAGCAGGAGGAGGAGAGAGCAGAGGAAGGTGCTACCCATTTTCAACCAGTCAGATCTCATGATAACTCACTCACTACAAGAACAGCAAGGAGAAAGTCTGTCCCCATGATCCAATCATCTCCCACCAGGACCTCCCACAACACTGTCAATGAATGAGGCTTTACTCAATGGGTTTGAGAAAATAACAATAAAAACAAATATAGTGCACACCCACAGCAAGAAATGGAATTAAAATGAGACTATGTCGATTCAATAACTAAACCTGGTATTATTAAATCTAGAAGTGCAACTTATGGGAGCAATTCACGACTCCTTGCTAATAATGTTATTTTCTGCTAATTTTCCAAATTAACTATGAAAATAATCTTTCAAATGACACTCGTGTTGGCTAAATTATTAGGAACATTATATTTATCATATGTAGCTAGGCATTATAGTTCCTTATGTTTTCTCCAGTGTTGCAACATGTTACTTGAAATTCAAGGAGATGTTTTAAACTAAAACAAGTATTACTTGATAGAAACATATTTAATATATTATTTGGCAGGACATTTGTCACAATCTCTCTTGCAAAATACTTAGAAAATGCTAGCTTTCAACAAATATTTAGAAATATAAAATTTGCAGTGTTGGGGACACTGTCTGCTTTTGCTTGAATGTGTAATACAAAAATGAGACTTGAATCAAGTGTTTTTCTGAATCAGAACTGTATGTGTATGCATATTTCCTAAATTTATTATGAAAGGTGTACCTATAATTTTCATAAAATAGTAAGGTCACAGGAAACAGGCCTATCTTTTAACTGTCTCCTATCTGTAACATAGAGTACCATATAAGATGATAGTGACACAAATAATTTCTGTTCAAGAATGATGGCTGTCTAAAACCACTCACCTAAACTTTTCGAATCAAACCTGTTAACAAAGAAAGGAACATAAAAGAGAGTTCTGAATCTTAGTTACAGCTTTGTCTGTATGAAAAAGAACTCAGGCCTGGCGGGGTGGCTCAAGCCTGTAATCCCAGCACTTTGGGAGGCCGAGGTGGGTGGATCACGAGGTCAAGAGATCGAGACCAACCTGGTCAACATGGTGAAACCCCGTCTCTACTAAAAATACAAAAAAAATTAGCTCGGCATGGTGGCGTGTGCCTGTAATCCCAGCACTTTGGGAGGCCAAGACGGGTGGATCACGAGGTCAAGAGATCGAGACCATCCCGGTCAATATGGTGAAACCCTGTCTCTACTAAAAATACAAAA